AATACTTAAGTACATATATTTACTTAAAATTCGTGTACAGCAAAAATATTCCAAGATTATTGAAGAGAGAAGTGGTACAAAAGCTGGATTTTACTTTTGAATTTCTGTCGATTGCATCATCGATTTTAATTTTATCTTGTAGTTTTATTTCCACAATCATTACGTACACTAATAATTTAAATTTTATAGATCGAACCGTTTCCTATTATTTTGGAAGATAATGCGTTTATAAAGCTTTGGTATAAAAAGATAACGAATTTCTTGTACCAAAAGCGAAGATGATCTTTAATTTCGTCAGGTATGCAATAAAAATGATGGTAAGAGGTACATTATTTTTTTAACCAAATGTATGATTTATTATATAAATCATTAAAATATCTTTCAGTTCTTCAAGGTTTGTGATAAGATAAATTATTGTGATAAGATAAAATCCTATTTTGCCAAGTACAAGTTGTACAAGTTTTAACAATAAAATAATTAAACTTGTAATATATGAATATAAATGTATTATCTTTGAAATCATATTATTAGAAAAATGAAATCGACATCATGTATCTTTAAATATTGTTAATTAAAGATATCTTGAATACAGATAATACTATAACCTTTTTCTAATAAAAAAAATGTATTTTTATCATAATTGTACAAGATTTATTTTGTTTTTAATTTATAGTCCATTTGCTTATATGGATCCTGTTAGTACCAATTTTACTGATATATTTATCGATCTATTTCGCGATTCTCTAAATGAAGAAACACATGATGCTAATTTAGCTGGTTTGCAGTGGAATTTTCGTAATACTAAATATGGAATAAAAGTGAGTACATGTATATAACATCAATGATCTAAAAATATCATTTAAATAACATTGAATACTATTTGAACAATTATTATTTAATTTATTACTAAAATTATCTAAAATAAATGCTATTTTATATTAGCATAAAATATTATTTATTCAAAAATCAACAAATAAAATTTAATTTGTAACTTGTTCTTTATAAATATATTTAATTTTATTTATATATAATAATATTTAACAAATTTATAAAAAGGAAAAAAATTATAATTTAAGAGAAAAATTAAATCTTTTTCTAGCTTTATATAGATGGTTACAATAGTAATCAACGTGTATTGCTCGAAAAGATTATGGATCAAATGATAAATTTTAAAGTTGATCCAATAAGATTTGAAACTCTGAAGGAAAATGTATGTATAATAAAAAATGTATAATCAGTTTTTTAATTTAATGAAAATGCAGCATTTTTATACAAAATTATTAATAATTTACAGTATATTGGAAATTTGATAAATTTTGCTGTTGAGGAGCCTCTTGACCAGTCATATTACTATCTTCACGTTTTATTGACAACAGAGCAAACTTGGCTCAAAGATGAATTATTAAAATTAACTGCTTGTAAGTATAGAATACAACTTGTGTACTCTTTTTATTTGTTTCTTTAAAAATTATTTTCCTTTTCAAAAATTTTAACTTTAGCAAAATGACTAGCAACTTTTTTTAATTAATTCTTAAGAAACATCTTAATATATTAGATTTAACTCCCGAGAGACTCCAACGGTTTATATCACAGCTACTTAGTAAAGTTCATGTGGAAAGCTTAATATATGGTAATGTGACTATGCTAGAAGCTATAGATATAGGTATATTAATTAAATCTAAGATAAATAAGATGTCTCACGAAGTACCTTTCTTCCAACAGCATTTAGAATTAAAGCGTGAAATTAAACTAGAAGATAGTAAGTATATGCAACATAATCCCATTTATAACAAATTTGAACATTAATGTAAAAAATATTAATTAACATAAAAAGACATAATTTTAATATGAATTTCTCACTTCCACTAATTTGTATATTTATATTTTATATTTATATATGAAAAAGGCCTAATTTTTATCTAATTAATGAAGATTTTGTTTTAAAAAATTAAATGTTTTCCCTGTCTTCCCATTCCAATAAGTTAATATTGTTTATATTGTACAATACATAATATTATATAATAATGTTTATTATAGATTATCATTTTCTATTTGAAGCGGAAAATAAGTTACATAAAAAGTCTTGTACAATGATATATTATCAGATTGGTGTACAATCAACAGAGTCAAATATGCTCTTAGAACTCTTGGAAAAAATTATTTCTGAGCCTTGCTCCCATATTCTAAGAACAAAGGAACAATTAGCTTATACGGCATATAGTGACGTTCATAAAACAACTAGTACGCAAGGTTTGCAAATTGTAGTTGAAGGTGACAAGCATCCACAATATGTCGAAAGGAGGATTAATTCGTTTATGAATTCCATGTTGGTAAGTAATAATTATTTATATAATAATAACAATAATAAGATATTAACTAAGATAGTAATAACAATAATAAGATATTAACAGATAATAGATATTATTATATAATAAGATGTTAATATACATAATATGTGTTAACCAAAATGTAAGGACTTTTCCTTTTTTTTATTTACTACATGTTCTATGTCTTTATTAAATTAATATTAGTCTATATAATATTATACAATTATATTTCTATTGGAATATATCATTAACATCACTATAACATTTTAGGACTATATAGCTACCATGCCTGAAGAGCAATTCGAGAAATACAAGAAAGCTGTGGCTGTATTACGTTTGGAGAAACCAAAAACATTGAATGCCCAATGCAATGTATATTGGAGTGAGATTAAAATCCAACAATATAACTTTGATCGAGAAAATATCGAAATATCTTACTTAAAAACGATAACGCAGCAGCAGTTACTTAATTTCTATAAGGTAAGATCATTTCATGCTTTATATTTCGTTTTACATGCAAAATATATAATTAAAGAAAAAAGACATTTTATTATGAAAGAATAAATGAAAAATATAGAATATAATTTTTTTATAGAAGATATAATATAACTTTTTTGAAAGAAATTATTTTTATGAAGAAATTATATTTTTATGAATGTTGAAGAATAATTAATACATTTATACAATATTTTAGGAAAATGTACTTAATAAAGCTCCTAAATTATCAATACATGTGATACCACCTACGATAATATTAACAGAAAAGGATTCAATTAATTACACAACAGAGAAGATTGCCGATTCACCGATTGATAAAAAAATTAAGAAAATTGACGATATCATGTCATTTAAAAATAATCAAGTTTTATATCCTCTTTTAAAACCATTTAAAGAGTACTCTTCAAAGGATATATTTTCTTCTAAATTAGAAAAAAAATGATAAGATAGTAAAATAAATGAATGAATTTATCTTCATTCATTATACTTCATAATATTAATTTGTATTGTTTGAGAAAAAGAATTGATTCATTATTTTATGAAAATTAATGAATCACTTATTAGCGAAATTAAAATTAGAAAAATCTGACATGCATTTTTAGCATTTTCACGATAAATAATTATACAGTTTATTATTAAAAACCAGTCTGATATTATTTATTTTCAAAATATTATTGAAATTGTATAAATTTTAGTTATATAATTAACATGTATAAATTTTTTTGCTCTATTAATATTATTTTATGTACACTTTGTTTTAGACAATTTTAAAATTATTTTCTATTTATTCAATCAAATAATATACATTAAAAATAATTATAGGTTTTTATAAAATTTTAACATTTATGTATTTAAGTACAATATTTTTTGTTAAAAATAATCTAATTTTTTTAGATAATCTTTTTACAAAATTTGTTAGCTTTATGTGTACATAAATAATTTTTACGAATAAAGCACAATTTAATGTAGAACTTATATTGTAAGTTTTAATAAATTAAATATAGTATGTATTAAATTAAATTGTATTTTTTTCTTCCTGTTTCTTTTATATCTTTTGAATAGTATGTGTAATACAGATGTTTCTGACAATATGATTTAAAAGATATTTAGCACTAAAAATACATGGCACATGCAAATTATGTTTTTAATAATATTTTCATTAATTTATAGACAAAATGTAACTGTAAAACTGTCATTTTTTTGTGTTTTAAATATTTGTTAAAAAACATTATGTAAAATAAGTTTCTTATTTACACACTTTATGATTATATAAATTAAATATTCTTAATTCATGAATTGTGTATACACTTGATTGCGATTTTATCAGCAGTAGAAAATGGATGTAGTTAAGCAGTTCCAAGCTCAAAATATGTATTGGCGGTAGTGTACAGGAAGCTTTGACAGTCCTACGAAAAAGGCTGAGATAATCGCTCTCAGATTTCTTTGTGTTAAAAGAAATATACAGCTATAAAGTTTTATAATAATAGTATAATAATTTTGCGATATAATTAATATTAATATATTGCATATATAATAATAATATAATAATCAGTATTAATATTGTTTTTTATACATATTGCGCAATGATTTCTTATTATTTAATATTTATATTTTACAAAAAAGATAAAAAGATGTTAACTTTACTTAATATTGATATATATTAGTTATATTTTCTTAGCCAATTATGAAAAAATTTAATTAAAACTAATTAAAATATTGATTAAATATTAATAAAATATTAATTAATTAAAACAATACAGATATTGCACAGAATTATTTACATTTTGAATTAAATTGCGTGACTGTTAATGAGAGACTTTAGCATTCTCGTAGCGAATTCGTAGCAATAGACATAGTTTAGACTTGAAATTCTATATCATAATTTAAATATAGAATTTATTGCATTATAATTTTTTTTAAGTTTTATGACGTTTTTTATTTAATAAATTTTTTAAATGTTTTCATTTAAATTTGAATTTGTTAATTTTATGTCTGTTTCTATCAAAATTTACAATTATTTCACGTAAAAATAAAGAAAAGCATCAAGTACTCTATACCTTAAAAAAATTATTAAAACATAAAGCTAATATTGCTTAAATTTATAAATTAAAAAAAACCTTGTGTAATGTAACTGTTTTAATTTTTTACAAAAAAAGAAAGATAAAGAGATAAGCTATTTTATAAGCCATCAACTTTCTTGGCATCGACTACAAACATATAACTTCTTGACTATTTGTTAATCATTTAGTGATTTATAAAATACTGATATTTGAACTATTTTTAAATCGTGTCCGTTATTTATATTTATGTGGAATGAAAATCACGAGGCCGACGATGCGCCGATATCTTTGCGAGAAACCAGGCGCTTTCTAAGTGACCCAAGTCCCGCGGTTCCTGTTTTAGTGATTAATGACGATGCGAGAAATCCTCCCTCGTCGGACCACCGGGTTTGCGCGCGAGCCCATCTGTCGAAGATAATATTAATGGATTCGTCCTAGTGAAACGTAGCTTCGTATCTTGCCATCCAATTAGCGACGCGCGGCCTGTCGTGAGCGCGGAGAGAGCGCGAGAGGGCTTGACAAATTCTCGCAAAATAACGGCGCATGTTCGCGGATTAACGGCGCGCGTGTCTGTATCGTCGCCTCTGGCAGCGCTTGAAACATAGTTAAATTGATATTTTGCAGTGATAACGTTACCGTTACCATTTGTCTTCTCTTTGCACGTTTCGTTGCGAACGAAATAGATTCGTCTCTCGTTCATTCTCACGGATGAACTGGCCAATGTAGAAAAAAATAAATACAAAGAAAATCATCGGATTTATTGCTTTTCCATTCCTAATAAGTATGTACAATTTAAAATTACAATTTAAAAAATACGTATGCACATATGTAAAATATGTAATGCACATATTACAAATTTTCTGCAAAATTTATTCTGAAAATTTATTTTAAAATATTTTGTGCTTGGAGTATTATCATCTCGGTCTTCTTTATTTATAGTTTATAGAATCTCTGTTCTTAAAATTCGCAATAGTTGCGCTGCAAGTAGCGGTTTCTGCGGCCGCAATCTTTCCTCTCCGACCGATAGCTGTACATGTGCATAAATTGTAGGCGGCTTAGAAGTGCTGATAAGACTGATATAACATATAATGCGTCCATAAACGGCGTGTAAAAGTATGAATGGGACATTCTTCTTGTACTGATAATGCCAAAAGGAAAACGTACGTAAAGCAACGTTGTACGAAGAACATAGTTTCAAAGTATTATTTTACACATTTTCATTTTCCTCTCTTATTGTACTTTTAAAATTAATTTAAACTTTTCACAATACACGTATACACATAAAATTTGATTTTTTGGTTGACAAGTACTTGCTCATATTTTTTTACGTAAGTAAAATAAGATCTGTCATATTCATATGTAATTTTTTTGGATAGACTACGGTCTTTTTAAATTAATAGAATTCATACAATCGTATAGTCAAGCATCCCGAAGATTTGCTTGCGATAAAAGGCTGCGAATCGAGAAAGTGGCAACAGCATTGGTGGAGCATCAGCGGAACAACTTCGCCATACGACGGCGAAGTCAAGCGAGTCAACGGCCCTAAACGTCAAGCGGAAAGGGCGGAAACGGCGGGCCGTGCATAAATAAGCGCCTGGAAACCACAATGCGTTTGCGGAGACATCGCGTGTGGGCAGCGGCCGCGGTGCCGTACCGGCCACTCGACCTGAAAATCAATGTAAAACAATTTGGCTGACGACCTCTCGCGTGACACGCCGTAAATCACCGGGATGTCGATGATCTTCGCAAGTATTTGGTCCTCAGTGCGCCGCGACAGAATGTAGTTGGTAATAGCGAGACATGAATTTGCCAATGCAAATTGGTGATTCTAAATCTTAGGAAAACGTACATGAGGTGTAATAATATGCAAAAAATGCAATAAATCATGTATCGAAGAATTACACAATAATTATTCATGAGGGAATTAATATCAATGGTAATCTCTTGAAGGATAGAATTATACAACCAGAAAATATACATTCTATTCCTTAAGAGAAAATAATACTATTAAAGTATCTATTATTGTTACTCGTGTAACATAAAGTTCAGTTTGATATTATCTATAATTTTGGAAATCATATTTTTATTAGGCAAATTTATTATTACGGCACAACTATTATAGTTGTAAGTATTTTAATAACCGTAATAATCGTTACCATTAAAATAGATATATTACTATATCTATATCGCGCATGCTTTTACGTAAATACAATATTTAAGGACACTCGGATTTAATGCAGTTAATCATATATCTCTGTGCTTTCGTGATTAACAATAATTACGCCCGCGAGTGCCGTTTAAGGACACCACGAACTTTCGAATTTCCCTTCCCTCCGTCCATTACAATCGCCAATTACAATCGCCACGTTTGGATGAGCCTTAATATCTTCGGAGCATTTCACGAGTCGTTGTCCACCGTTCATTAAACTGGTTTTACGATTTACGATTCCGCCGAGCTAAATGTGAATAATCGAGAAGAAGATGAAGAAACCAAAGGAGGTATTGTGGCGCTTTGGAGGAAATGAGAGGAGAGTTAAAGGGAGCGGAATCATTTATAATGATCATAAACATCACGTGCTGAATCCGTAGCGAGCGTTATGGTTTCATAAAAGAGAAAGAAGCGTACATGAAAGTCTCGATCAGTTTATATGGCGCCTAATTCATTTTTTGTAAAATATAAAAATTAATCCTTTGTCATTTGTTTTAATCCGCGACAATTTCATTCTGCTTTCTCGTTATCGTTTTCATGAAGGAGAAGCAACGATAAGTATCTTGATAAGTTTTGGAATTATCGAATATCAAGTTGCGCAAAGCTGTTTTAGAAATCGTAATTTAAATACATTGTTTCTTGAAAGTATATGCTTTGATAGTTTTCAACTTGTTTTATTATAAATCTAGAAATTCTTGTGCAGTATATTTATCTGCATTCTTTAAAATTAGAATAATTTAGGACTTTAAATTAGGGCACTTTAAAAGAATATTATTAAATTTATAATAACATTTCAACAATCGATAGATATTTATTTACTTTTAAATTAGTCTTATTGCTGCAGTATGAAGTTACATCGATATCGATTTATCTATGCGCGATTTAACACTTGTCTAAATAAGAAAAATTTTTATTTAATATATGAAATTGAAGTCTGGATGGAAGAATTCAATGTTTATCCTTCGATCTTCTCCGGAAAAAAATAACACCCTCGGTCAGTGGCTCCAATTTCATCTTGACGTGAACATCGGAGTAAGACGAGGTGGATACTTTTTAAGAAAACACTTAAGTTACGGCTTGCTTCAGGTTTTGAGGCGCCTTGAGGTCGAGCGATAACCATTCGAACAGATACGGTTGAGTAAACCTTTTCGTATAATTTCCTTTACTTGCCAAACAAGAATGCATTCGATCTATATA